TAGTGAAACACTGATGTGTTGAGAAAAGAATTTAAATTCTGAGTGCTGAACTATAATAATTTTAACGCTAATTGAAAAATCCAGACAAGGTGCCTATAATATTCTAGTAAGTTAGATTGTAAAATTTGTAAAATATTTTACAATATTCAGCTTATGAAATTAATATAAAAGAAAAAGAATAGAATGCAGCATGTGCTTTCATTGTCTACTTTATGCGTTAGGCTCAACTGTAAGCATTTGATAAAAAAAATATTCAATTCTGTACATAAATGAATTTGACATAAACTTAAGAAAAAACAGAAGGAAATATGAAACAAACAAAAATAATGAATTGGTAGTTCTACAATAGCTTGAGGTGACAATTTTTATAAATACACCTGTCATAAATTACTTTCGTAAACTGTACTTATTTAAAAATACAACATGTATGGCAACTAATAGCGACACCTCATGTTTATATAGAAATATTTTAAATTTGCACCTAAAATCGCTAATAACATGTAAGATTTTGATTGGAAAAAATTTAGAGTAAAAATTCAAGACAGATTCATGGATTTGTTTAATTATTATTAATTTAATTGACCACGCAAAATTTTGCGGTGACGTCATCACCAAACTTCGGCATCATCGTCCGATCGCCAGCGCTATTGCAGTCGTGGTCTACAACTTGCGGAATAACAATTTTCTTAATAACAATTACTACTTTTTCTCGGTTTTAACGAGTCTTCCTAGATGTTAAAATGCTTTAAATATTAAAAATGACTGTTCAACATCACAATTTTCGTGGTGATCTTGATTGGATAAACCCTGATTTGCATCAAACGACACTGAGGTTGAGACTTGGTTGAGACTGCACAGTCGGCCAGCCAAATTTATCGCCTGAAGTCGCGCCGTCGTTCTTAACATTTCTCTGGTTGATTCCCCATTACTTCGGCTGTGCCTAACTCTGGTCATCACATTGTTTTAGGGATGACTAGACAAATTTTGATTAGCATTTTACCATACACACGATATTCCTTAACTAAATATAAAATTTTATATCGATCAGTCCAGTAGTTACGGATATTATCTCTGTAATCGACACAGGCAGCAGACGACTTCCCCAGATAGGTAATGGAAACGGGAGACCTATTTTTTCATACTTTAGGGGACATGAGACGTCGAGAATACATAAAAGTAATCATTCGCAAGGATATACTTCCTTAGCATATCCTCTAGAAATAAAAATGTACTAAGTATTAAAATTCATAGATTGTAGCATTTTGTGTCTCAAGCAGAGCACGTCGACGAGATTCTAAAATATATTTTCAAATTGGAACATACATGTTTATTTATTACAAATTTATGTAAGATTTATAGTTTTGGAAGTTTCATTCTACCCTGTGAAATTTTATTGGCAATAACGAGACGGACAGTAGTACAATAGCAAGAGATTTTTAAAACTTAACGTTGTCGCGTGCCGGTAATCCCCAGATGGTAGAAACCAGAATAATCCAGGTCTGGACAGGGCCCATCGTTACTCACGAACGAAAATGACCATTATTTTATGAGTACAACTACCTGCTAAATGTTCTCCGACAAATTCTGATGAACTGGTGTGAGCCATAAATATTTCTTACCATTGTACTACTGTCCGTCTCGTTATTGTTGTGGCGGCACAATAACACGTCGGTAAGCAGAGAAAGATAAGTGGCCTCGTGGTCCAGTGGTTAACATACTTGCCCGGAAAGCATAGAGACGTGGGTTCGACTCCCACCAAGCCACAATATTTTTCTCTGCTTACCTACATTGTCAACAAAATTTTATAGGGTAGAATGAAATTTCCAAAACTATACCTACAAAAATTTTGGGGTGACATCATTACATTAGACATAAACGAACAAATTTGGTTGGCGATTCAAAATTTACGTGACAATCTAAAAATACCCTCAAAATACCAGAGCAAGCGGTTCTGTAGTTTCTAATAAAATCGCCAATAGACCCGTAGTGTAAGTCATAAAACGTGAAGAAAACAGACTTTAGCAATTCGTCATATGAATCGTATGACAATGTTGCAACTTTACCGACTTCGGCATTTTTCAAAAATATCGTTAATTGTAAATCATAAAATCTTGTATTGCTGATGAGTTACTAAATTTTTACTTCCCGAGCATAAGCTAAGGAAGTATTGTAACATCCACTTTCACGTTTTCTCGACGTTTCATGACCCCTAGAGCACGAAAAAGTAGGTCCGCGTTTCCCACTGTCGTTGGTTTGTCCGTTTCAGCTCACTATATACACTCTTGTACTTGTAGTTTACGAATCTACCTTGATTTTATTTATTATTATTATGTGTTTATTCTTTAATCCGTTTTGTTCTTAACACACATAATTTACGAACTTCTGGTTCAGTAGTAGGGCGTCAGCATGCCAGATGGGAATTCCAGGATTTAAAGCTGGTGGGCGGCAGCTTTTTTTCGTTAGATGAAATAAATTTTAAAAAATTAAAATATCAACTCACCCGATGGACTCGATTACAATACTTTTTTCACTAACTAATTTATCCTTCGCGGGCGTAAACTAAGAAATTATTAAATCGAGCCCATCGGGCGAGTTTTATATTTTCTCGACGTTTCATGTCCCTTAGAATACGGAAAAATAGGTTTGTCGTTTCCGTCTGTCTGCCGTCTGTTATCTGCTGTCTACAGTCCGTCTACGTCTGTGTCGATTTTTATTATATAAATAACATCTCCGGAACTACTGGACCGATTGTTGTTAAATTTTGTATGTATTTTAGGGAAATCATGTAGATGGTAAAACGCTGACCAAAATTTCTGTGATTATCACCACTAATATGACATCGTCTCCAACTTTTGCAACACAATTTATGAATTCGTGTTGAGCTGTTACCCTGAGCATTCACATTTGTGGAAAAACTAATCAAAGTTATCCACGACATTTTACAATTTAACTTTGAAACTGCAAAACCGAATATGTACTCTGAAATTTTGCAAACGTTTTACGGCTATCGGAAACATAATAAATCGTTAATCAAAATTTGTCTGTTCATCCCCTTCAAAAAAAGTTGATGGCGTTATTTCAAAATTTTACTGAACGTTACTGAATAAGATCAAAATATTCGCAGTATTAAGAGCTCATGGTTTGTCAATGCATTCATATTTTTTAGAATTGCTCCATACTTATAAAGTGACTCAAAAATTTCGGGATACAGTACTTTTATTAATAGTATTACACTAGCTGCACCTATTTTTATTAAAATCTTTATATGGAAAAACTCACTAAAAACGTATGCATACGATTCTTCTTTACCCGTACATTCACAATTCCTAATTAATTTTAACGCATAAAATCATCATTAAAAAATAAAATTCTCAAAGTTAAATTTTATCATTTTTCAAAGCTGTGTCTGTTCAACTGTACTTTAGGAGAAAGGGAAATTCTGCTGAAATAACATTCAACCAATTTTTTATTGATTAAATTAAGAACAAGTCACCTCATTTTCTCGAAAACGCATAGTACAGCAATGCTGCGTCCGTCTATATTTAATAATAATAAAATAAGAATTGCAATAATAACATTCAGGACATTTTGCTTTATTTTAGCTTAATTAATAATTCTAGCCCTCTGTTTTGAGGAGACAAACTCATTCAAATCAAACAAATTTCTGCGTGTTATTCGTGACATTCGTTTAATGTATAAACACAAACAATCGAAGTTAAGCATGTAGAATGATGGTTTACAATTTTTCGAAAAATCTGTTCGCCTGTACTTCTGGGACCCGGGAATTTCTGTCTAAATAAGTTTGGACCATTTTTTTTTATACTATTTTCAAAACTAAAATTATCCGTTTACATCAAACAGCATTTTTGCATATGGACGAAACTAGTAACAACTTAATTTTCCAAATTTCTAAAAGCACAGAACAAAAAAATCGGGGCGAATTCATAAACCACTAATGTGAAAGTATATAATTTTATAAAATTTAAATAGCCTTTACTATGCAAAATTTTGAAATCACGTCATTATGGAGACGACAAGAGAAATTTTGCTTAGCGTTTTAGCATCTACACAACTAAAATGTCAGAACAATCAGTCCAGTACTGACAAAAATTATCTGCTGAAAACATATCCCATGAAACTTCGAGAAAACAGTAAAGTATCTGTTCGCCACAAAAATAAAAACCTGGGAAAGGAGAATTGGGTCTATGAATTGACTGTGAATTTTTTTTTCAAAGGACTGGGTTTTAATTAACACCATTTAAAATTAAAACTCTTTTTCAACAAACCGTATATTTGTACATATAATACTGCTACATATTGAATCTTTACGATATGTTAATACATGCAGTTACAAATACTTAATTTTTCAGAACTAAGTCTACCACTAATCAGAACTGATTAACTTCGGAATATAAAAAGGTTTTAATATGATCGAAATTTTATTCATTCGTGCTTTGAACATGTACTCTCCACGTGGTAAAAACTCCGGTAATACGTTTAAACTCACGAGCTAGTATAAATTTCACATTTTCATTCATACCACTCGCTGTATGCATGTAGGTACTTCAAATTTATTTGGTATGAGCGCATATACATTTTTATCCGTATCATCTAATAAATAAAACCAGAAAGAAATATTCGTGAAATATCTAAACAGATATAGAAAAATTCCCCTCGTACATTGTACCAACATTGCTGAAAGGTTAACGTTCCAATTATTCCGTTCCACTATTCCTTTCCCCCCATTTGTATATTTTTTTCCACCTGTCAAAACCACTTTTTAATTAGCAGTTCTATAAGGGTTGACCCTCTCCAAAGCGTCACCTGAAAAACGTGCCTCCTCAAGCGTAGCATTCAGCCAGAAGATAGCATCTTCAGTGGAAGTGGAGTTCCCGGTGTCGCAAAACGAGAAAAAAGTCATCGCCGAGAATTGTGTCGCATCAATTTAAATCGGAATTGTGTCCATGAGCGAAACGCCACGACATTCCTGCTAAGAAGAGTCAAAGCGGCGAGTACCGGTCGGACTGCAATTTTAAACGGAGTTCGTGGGCCGGCACCGCTGTACGTGGCCCCCTTCCATACCTCGCGACTGTGGCACACCTCTCCGAAGGTAGTTTCAAACATGTTACCAGCCTTAGTTGGACTAAAACCACGCAATAAAGGCGACGATTGCTCGCAAGTTGTTCGCCAAAATCCAGCCAAATTAGCCGAAAGCTTTAGCAAAATGCGTGTGAATGCGGACAAGGGAAAATAGCGCGCGACGCGAAGTCAACCGCGAAAATCGAATTTTCCAAGACGTGGAAATAGTAAACAAGTGTATTGATTTTGGGTGTCGCGTGTATTATTGTGTTACATGGAAGTCATGCGCTGTGCTAGTGGATTTGTTTTTGTTAAAACGTGGTGATTTTGTGCAAATTCGAATAAATCAACTGGATCATGGTTGGTTTATGATATGGCGGAAGTCAAACCCCTGTATTCGACATGTGTTGCTGTTTTGGGATTTATTTGTTTTGTAGTTGGCGCTACTGCCGTCGGAATACCCATGTGGGGGTATTTCGACACCCCGAGTGGTAAGTGTTGATCAAAAAGGAACCACGGTACCATTCCCATCCCGTTCACCTTCGCCATCAATAATGAGCAATGATCGCAAAGATGGAAGCCTCACTAGTGGCGTGCAAACAATGCGTCACTTTAAACAGCCGAATGTAGGTTAAAGATGCCTGGAAAGCGTACTGAATAACAAGATTTTTAACTCCAGATACGCCTACATTGGGTCTTTAACGAAAAACACATTTATTGCCACGATATATGGCCGAATAATTTGCTGCCATTTTACTCTGTCTATCGTTCATATCGTTATCGGGAAAGTTTTGCAGGACTTTTCCGGTTCACGTCGAGGAATAATACGACGTACGGTTTACATTTTACATTCGTCTGCGTAAATGCATGGTTGATTCCACTAAACTTTATTGCATTGTATAAATCCACGTCCGTGCTCAGGTTCATGCAACGAAAATGACCGCTTGGGAGGGCATTTCGAACTGTGCCATAAACGTTTGTGAGAAACGTTAGTCAAAATGACAGACCTTGGCGTATCCGTATTATCTTGTAGCGGAATTTCCTGCCAGTACTAAACAGTCTTATTATTTTCTTTACCTACATATTAACCTACAACCAAATGAAAGTCATTATTATTATTATCATCGAGACAGGGAATGAGGCAATTATTGCTCAGTTCCCATGATTTGTGTAATTATTGGCATTATACATTTTTTACAATTCTGTTTTTTTCCAGCTTTTAAATGGAATAGTCATAGCTATTGAACTGCTTATAATCACCTACAGGGTATTTAATTTTTTTAAATGTGTTTGAAAACAATTGTATACGAAAATGTTGCTGTGGGGATAAAAGCATCCGCGTTAACAATAGAAGTTTTTTTTCGTTTCCAGCTTTTGTATATTTTTGGTCGTATATTTTTTTTCTTATACGAATTGTAATTTTTGACTAATGTGATCGATTTCCACTCCGACGAGGTATGAAATAGCAGTTATTATTTTTTCAGCGATAAATGTCAGGATATTGATCCGAATTAATGTCATTAATATGTTGGCACATTAAAAACACGCAAAATTGGTGCAAGTAAAGGTGTTTTCGCTGCTTTAATTGTGTTTAAAAAACTGGCTTAAAAAGTAAAAATAAAATGAGAGGACGCAGCCGACTAACACAGTTGGCCACCTCAAATTATTGTCAGATGGTAGCTATATTATAGGTTCAAAGAACATTTGCGGGTGTTTTTTTTGTCAGATTTGTATTTCAAGTATTTATCGATTTTGAGAATTTTGGTTCAACCTTAGTTTCACTAAAATTTATTCAGTTTCAAACATCACTGCAAACACAGTTAAATAAAATAAGCAGCCTTACACACGATTTTAATTTATTCAAGGTGTCTCAATGATGCGATGATGCATTTCCTCTAAACTTTTGCAACGAAATGTTGACATATTTTAACAGAATTGACTTGCGTTTGTTCAATATCGCATAAAACTTTGAGTATTTAAGGCAGAAAATGGTGTAGGCACATATTCTGACACTGGATTGTTCGTACAAAGACCTGCAAACTCCCCAGATTTGGCTCTAACTGATTTCTTCTAATGGGGTTATTTGTATGACCTGTTGTATTCAACTGGACAGAGATTTGGAAGATCTAAAAGCTTTTATAAATAAAATATACATTCAAATTTAGATTCAAGTTGACAAATTAGATTTTTGTCGACAGTCACCGGATATCTAGTTGGGTATCTCATTTGATACTGTTTTACGTATTTTTGTTGTTCAAACGATTTATTTCTTTTTTTAACTGAATTGAACGCATACTTTCATGTGTTTTCGATTTTTTATGACCTCTAGTAGGTATACGAAAAATAGGTCTCCCTACTACTGAAATTTTATTACGAAGATCGTGTTTAGATAAAACGCTAACTAAAATGTGTTTAATCATCTACCATTTAATTTTATTAAATAACATACTCCTATACTTGTGGTCTATGAATTCGGCCTTGAGTTTTTCCCCTACGCATGTAGATTTTCGCAAAAAATCTAAATTGAATAAGAATATTTTATACTGATATAAACTTTTATTCTTACACTCTGAATGGTATTATCTACATTTTTTTAACTTATAAGGCTAATCATAAAAATAAAATTTCACAAAATCAAATTTTATAATCATCCGAAGAAACGGGATTTGTTGAACTGGACCTCAGGGGCTAGGGAGGTTCTGTCTAAATCAGCTAAGGAAGTATTGTAATTGGGTCCATCTGGCCAACGGCTACTTTAATGTTTTCGCGTTTTAGATCCTATTCTTGCGGTGTTTAAGAAGTAAATAAAAAAATGGTAAAAGTGGTTTTGAACACCATTCTGAATTCTCTATAACTTTTTCTGTTACAATTTTACCATTGAATCAACAACGCATTTTATTTATTTACGTATAAATGTCCTTATCTATCAGAAATGAATTACAATTAACCTTGTAATTAGTCATCTAATGGAACATTACAGTATTTCAAACTTACTTTTACGCAAGACTTTTTTCATACCTGTTTTTTATGTTCTTTATCTTTCAAGTAGAGGAAAGCTTTCAGTTTTTACAAATGGTTTCTTTTTATTTCTCGAGCGTAAGTTAAGGAAGTATTGTGTTGGCTACTTTCATAATTTCTTGACATCTCATGACCCCTAGAGTACGAAACAGTAGGTTTCCTGTTTCCGTCTGAAAATACAATGTAAACGTTCCAATGGATCGTAAAAATTTACTTTTGCCCTAAAATGTTTCAAAAAGCAAGACTGAGTTTGGTAAAACCACAGCTCGTGAAATTTTGATGGAATAACATTTACTTTTAATTGTTGAATTTTCAACAAGATTTTTATTTCTTTGAATTATTGCGTGCACTCTCAGTTGTATTGTCACTTATCATTATCAAGAATCCACTTGTGGAGTTTTGTCGCATCAAGAATTTTTAGATCGTCTGTGATTGGTCAAGCCATTTCACCCGTAAAATTTTTATGAGGTGAATTGTTACAAAAGGTAAAATTTTATAAAATAAAATTGTATGATTTTTCGAAATAACCTTTGACCAATTATGTAGTTTATTATTTAAATCGTATTGTTTTTTAGACAAATAATATGAACCTCCCTAAGCACAACCGTGGTATAGATAGGTAGCGCCCTCGTTTCGTAAATGAAAGGTCCGGGAATTAATGCCGGGCCGCGCCTTTTTTTATTTATAAAATTATCGGATCATCCTATTTTTCCGAAAATTTGGGAATATACTACGGTTATTATTAGTATTACGTTGCACCTATTTAAAGTGATATAAGCGTCCCTGCTAAAATGTTGGTGACGTCATAACACAATTTTGTTGTGGAAAACTCACTTGAAACCACGCATAATATGCTTTTTTACTTGCAGTTAAAGAGTCAAGACATAGCTTTATTTAAAGTTGCATTGTTTCTTCTTAAACCAATTTTTATGTGTGTATTATAAAGACGAAATAAAACGACTTACATATAGCTGTTTTATATGTGTAGAACGTTTACTCAGTTAAAATTTATATAAGCAAAAAATATTTACTCAAAAACTACAGAATTAAAGTTCATAGTCCTAGTACTAAAGAATGCTTTCTTAATAGCAAAGCCCTAATAGCTACAAACAAAACACAGGTGTTTCTATAGAAATGTAAAAACCGACACTACAAAGGTTTTTGCGAAACTTCAAAATTTAAAAGAAACGGAATGGAGAATTTTTAAGTATAGATACGTTTTAAATTTAAGTGCAGTTACCTGCAGCAACTAATAATTAACTATATGACATTTCAAGGGATATTTTGACTACTAGTTTCCTTTTAGTATTTTTTTTAGCTATGGTTAATACTTATATTCTCTAGACATAGTTCATATTAATTATTTTGAAGCATTTTCAGATATTACCAAAAGGTAATAAAATACAAATTCTACTTCAGATAATTCGATTTTAACCTACTAAATGGATGTAATAAATGGTACATCATTATGTGTGGTGTACCAGAGCGACATTTCTGACTTTAATTCTAATGAGAAACGATAGATAACATAAACTTACATTCATCACTTTTATACATGACAGTTTATTTACCCTGAGGGAGCTATCTAAATTAAAACCACCAAAATACAACTACAGAAATTAATTTAATTTTTTAAAACTCATTGTTCGTAATGAATTACTTATTAATCATTATAAAATTGTCTTTAATTACTCACCTGTTGATTGTACCAGTATTACCAAAAATTTTTAGAACCTACAAATTTTAGGAAACGTGAAACAAAAAAATTAATGCGTAGTAAGATATTTTGGGTTTCTTTAAGTTCTCATGGAATAAAAAGGGTCATTAAAAGCGACTTGTATATTAAATGAGTAAGCGGATGTATGTTAGCCGCTCACTTTTGAAGAAGAGGTTCTATCGCCAATTTAGTGGGAAGACCTGCCAGAGTCTACAGACACAAGTTCTAGTTTCTTACAAAAACATTCAGAACTTAATTTTCTTTTTGAAGCTGGATATGCATACTATCTTTTTTCGCACTTCGTAGATATATCTATTAAAAAAATAACACAAGCACCAAATTTGTTATTTATTCAACTATTTAACACCTTGGGCACTCAAACTGCTTTGGGCGATATTAGGCCACTGGTACTTGTTTGCTAAATTTCATCATCAAAACATTCTTACTCCTGTATTTACCGCAATGAATCATTTTCTCCAACTTTTGCCACCACTGAGATCGCGTATGTCTTGTCGACACAAAGTCGCATCACTGAATGAATATTAATTGCGTCGTATATTATCTGGCATGTTTTTCAAAGAACTCACCGTATGCTAGGAATTAACGCATCATGACTCATTGTTAACAACAGGTTCCTCATAAGACAAACCACAACGATACGTATGTGAAAGTGTTATAAGGAATGTGCTTACCTTACGAAGTTTCCAAACAATCTATACCTTATATTAGAATGTGTGGTAACTTAATTACAGTATG